TTCAATTCATTTCATTATTCTGTTTTATTCCCTTTAAAATTAAATTTAAAAAAATTTTTCTTTTTGGAAAATAATATATCTATATAAAGTGAAAAGGAAAAGCCTTCATAACATATGAAGTTTATAAGGGAGTACATACAATGTTTTGGTTGCACGAAATTTGCATGTTTATATTTATATGCACATACAAAAACATTTATTAACTCTTGCTCCCTGAGATGACATTTCACTTTCTATACATCTTCTATTATGCTTGGTTTTTCTTTAGTGAGAACTTTTGTGGTCAAGAAAAGCAAATACTTTTTAGGAAAAAAAACAATACCGAAGATTAAAGCATACAGATAAAGAAGGGTCCTATTTTCTAAGAACTTATTTATTTATTTTTGGCTTTAAAAAGTCCAAGTTCCCATTTCTGTGCAGAGGTTCTAGGGTTCTGCATGGCACCCGGCAGGTGGGACTCAGGTACCTTCCCTCTAGAGACTCTCTCTTTTGAAGTCACGGCTCCAATGGATTGGGGTGTCAGCTCATGGCGCATCATTCGGACACTGTACCCCAGTTTGCTTTTTTCAAATGATACATTCTCACTTATAGAACAAAGGATAAGTATTTGAAATCAGAAAGGGGAAATGGAAGATGTGCCTAATAAGAATTATTTATTTCATTTGAGGTATAAATAGATTAAAGCACAGAAAATGGTGTTCCTGATAGATGCACTATAAATCAGGTGATACACTCCAAACTCTGAATCAAGATCACTGATGTTTTTAAGAACACACATACAAGACAGCAGTCTCCATGGTTGCCTGAGGTTCACTAGAGAGCTAGAAGAGAAATTAGAGACTATAGTTACCATTCTGTTTCTAAGGCGACAGAACGGGCTTGTTGCTATCCTTTGCCAAGGCTGAATTCTAGGTTCAGCTATTCACATGTGTTTAACAAACATGGAGCAGAGAAAGTAGCATGAGGAACAGCATCTGGGCCATAAGGACACAAATGTGAAAGGTGATGTGATGTGAGGCTAATATTACTTATGATCCCAGCTGTAGTGTCAGTGCAATGGATTATATAACACCATGTGGGGTAGCAACCTACAGAGCAGCAAGACAGAGCCAGCAAAGTTCTTCCCACTTAGAAGAGTTCATGTACTACAGAACATTGGTTAGCACTTCCCACGGAAATTTTGCCAAAATGGAAAGCTTTCTTTTGAGGGTGTTCTGTGAGGAACAGGCTAAACTTTGCCAGCTCCTACAGAACGACACATAGCCACATCAAGAGAAGAAGAAAAGTGTGGCCTGTGGAGAGAAGAGGAAGTGTTCTTTTCACCTAGGGCTGTACCATGATTTATCCCACATCCTGTGAGGAGAGGTCCCAGGACAAACCCCATACTATGCCTTCTAAAATTGGATCTAGGTTTAACAACCCAATTCCTTTTCCGACAAGTCCTTCTGCCTGTTCCAAGCAAACTGCAAACCTCAAAGAACTTCTAGTGATTCTCCAAAGGACCCCTAGAAATTTACAATCAAAGATTCCCTAAAGAACCAAACAGAGGCAAGACACAGAATGGAACACATGTGATACCTGTCTTCATCATTATTATATACAGGCTCTGGAGTAAGCTAACTGATATGGTTAATAACCATGAGATTCTGACTTTTCACAAGGCACTGAGCCAGGAACTAGGGAAAACAAGACAAAGGATATGGCTCGAGTCTAGTGGGGCTAAAGGATAGATGCAAAGATGGGTCATCTATCAAGCGCTATTATGGAGTGGCCCAGACTCAGACAGCTTCCTAGAGGTGACGAGGAACTGAATCTTAGCACCACAAATACCAGGAGGATTCCAGGTGTGGACATAAAGGCCAGGCCTAATGCTATACTGGAGTGGTGTGTCCAAGAGAAATCAGCCTGAGTCCCAGAGCAGAGTTGGGCCCGAGTGTCAGCCTACAGGAGGCAGCTGGGAGGGAGACTGGCACACACAGTGGAAGCTGGACCTTGTCTCCTGCATCCTTCTAGAAGCTGACATTCAATGGATAAATTGTTCCTGGCAATTTGAAACCAAACCCAACAACTGGAAGTGCTTCTTTGAAAAGGAGAATTGGACTTTTCTTCTTTGCCAAATTTAGGCCTCATATTCTGTTTGCTTAAACAATTGCAGCTAAATAAATCTGGAAACTCTTCCTTTATTCCCACTTGAAATCTCTATACCTTATTCTTGCATGACCCCTAGAGTGGCCCTGCCTCTTCATGCCACAGGTTCCTACATATCCCTGAAGGCATCAGGGTCCTGGAAGGCAGCAGGCACAGGGTGGGTCATCTGATCCCACACTGATGCAGTTTGCCTCAGAACTCTATACACTTGTGGTAGATTAACTAATGGTGGAACATCCAGTGGGAATTGAGTCAACATGGTTTTGGGTGTAGAAGACCCATCTGAGGATTGCTGCTAATAGCATAAAAGGAGAACCGGAGGGGGAAGATGATATGCTGGTTTTCCTGATAGGAACTCAGTTGTTCTCATTGTCAGAGGAGCTTGGGTTCTCACTGTCACTAAGGATAACTGTGGTTCTCTTTGGGGGAGCTCTGGTCCTTTTCTTGAGCTTCATTTCCTGGCTGCAGTCTAAATGTCAGCCTGCTGGCACAGATTCTTTACCCTGCTAGTACAGATCTTCTAGTTTCCACCACTGGCCTTTGGGCCTTCCCAGTGTAGATCTTTGATACAGATTTTCATGACATTGTTACAGGCTCTACATCTCTAGCTAGATTCATGGAGGATACTGCCACGGGCTCTAGGTCTTCACTTGGACTTCACATGCAAAACACTGCCATGGATCCAGGCCTCAGCTAGATTATTTGGGTCTCTAGCACATCGACAGATCTCTTGTATTCCTCTGCATTTGACTTTTGGGTCAATATTATAAAACAAGCCTATAAATTATATGTCCTATATTAAATTTATTCACTTGCAAACCCTCACTAGAACAACAGTATTTGGAAGTAAATGTAGACAACATAAGTAAACAGCAGTGATTCACACCTTTTTTCCAATCACATCATTTCACATGCCCTTCAGTGGCTCACTTCATGGAGTTTTGAATAAAAAACACACTTAATAAACAGTTAAAAAAAAGCAAATCAGAACATTTGGAGATGAATTATAAGCAATGAACCTTGAAAGACAGCAACCTTCCACTCTGTCATTGATTTCTAAATTCAATTTCAGAGCTCTTCTAAAAAACTGGGTCTTCAGTTTGCGATGATCTACAGAACTATTAGGACTTCTTATGGAAGCCCTGAACAAGGCAGACACTGGCCATCCGGGCTTTGAAGTACCTTCTGGTTATCTATCAAGTGCTACTATGTCCACTCTGTGGACAGTGCCAAGCTGTGTGAATACAACATAGGGCACTGGTCTCATCACTGACAAGGGCCCAGCCTGCTGCTGAGCCCCATGACCCTGTTCCATGCCTTGGCAGCGGCTATCACCTACTTTTTTCTCTGAAAACATAAGAAATCACATTTACAGTTTGCAGGAACCAGGAAATAGAGGAGAAAATGAATTAACAGAAACTTTTTACCTAATGATCTACTTCTAGAAACGTAACTTGTAATAATATATTCAATTATAACCATTGAATTTGCCATTATCATTCAAAAATCAGTGTCAGTTGCTAAATTTCTCTTTTCAGAGCAATTAGACTTGGCTCCAATCAGCCCACAGTTGTTCCCAGTGCATTGTCTGGAGGAGGTGGCCACAGGCCATAGAAGGGGACAGTAAGAGTACAGACACACTTAATTTTCACATAATAGCTTTTTTAAGAGAAATGTCTACTTCACATCAATGTCTTTTCCTTTTCTGTAACAATTTCACCGTAGCTTAGTTCCATCAGTGTGGGAAGTGCTGTCTGCTCAAGGTAAACTGAAGTTTTCTCCAGAGCCAGCTGTATACACGTAAGTCAAATGCATACATCACAATGTGAATGAGAGCCGACTGTGTACACCATGGCGGAGTGTGTGCACGTAAGTCAACTGCATACACCAGAGCATGAGTGAGAGCCAACTGTGTACACCACAGCTGTATACAAGCCAACAGACAAGCCAACTGTATACACTACAGTTATGAATTAACTGTATGAGAAGGCACATAAGTGAACTATTAAACACAAGGATCCATAAATGAGAACTGTATACAACAGCATATGAGCAAATCCAGCACGTTTTCTTATTAAACACACTAAGTACACAATGAAAAATACTCAAAAAAATAACTTACTTTCATAAGAATAGTTAAACTTTATAGTTAGATTATTTATCTAATAATTACATTGCAAAGATTTTCAATAGGGCTTGAAAGATGGGCAAATTCTTCCTTAGTTATTCAATTATCTGTTAGAAAACCACATTTTATTGATATTCAAATTAAGGTTTATAGTCTAGACTTCCTTAGTCTACACTCGCTAAAAATCATCCAGGTAAAACTCTTATTTGAAGATTCTCAGTTCTTTTTAAGGAAATTCTGAAATGGTCAATTTCAAGAGAAAAACATTTTACTTATATGGTGAAAAAGTAATGTTACCATTAATACTTTCCCATCAACAGTAAACTGCTTTAAGTATCGGAACACTCTTATTTTCTTTTACTTATAAGGCCTAACAGATGCAATTATAATAGACCAATGCCTTCCAAAAGAGAGAGAAAAAATAAGTTAACTCCTTGATTATAAAATTTTCAGAAATTTGAAAATTTTATAAAAAGAAATTCTACCAAACCAAAACCAGTACTGGTAACATTTTCATGTAATTCCAGACCTCTAATACATTAACAAATAAGACTATTACTGCAACCTTTAAGTTCCCCCATGCTATTTTTCTATTTCATGAGTTTTTCACAAACATTTGTAGCTTACCCATACCCCTCTTATACATTTAAATAGTTTATAATAGTGGAAAGCAATGATTTATCTGGTGGAGGAGCTCACTCTTCCTCCTGCTCTGACTTCTTACCTTCTGCATCATCGGTACAACAGGCCTTCTCACAATCAGCACAGCTGTTGGGCTCTGGTAAGCAGGGTACGTAGCCCTCAGGAGGCAAACTCACAGTATAGAGATGGCGCTGTGGCTGGATCTTAATGTCACTGCCATCTGTAAAGAGAAGAGAGAAACATTATGAATTGGTAAATATTACATAATGTAAGCAGACATTTATTTTTCCTGATGACATCAGCATGACTTCTCCAATGAAATACAATACAAACAAAAAAATCAAATAGTTCAATAAAACCTACAACTGTCATATATACTGATTTTAATAGGTCAGCTATACATCCAGTCAGGATAAAAGAATCAAAAGGAGTCATTTTACAATTATTTAAATTCACATTAAGTTACTCATAATCTGGGTTTTCATAATGAAATAAAGTATAATTAGTTTATGAATAATTTAACAAAATATAAATAGCCCACACAACGTACCTTGTATCACACCATGGATCTTTGAACACTTTGGCACATCTTGAACTGTTTCTCCATGTGTGCCAACAAGTACACACTCAGAACAATATACCTAGACACACACTCATGTTCCATATGCACCGACATGTACACACCTACACACACAGAACCACAGAGAAGTGCCCACAGATATGGACACATGTGCATGCTCCAATACACCACCATAAATGCGAGGTACATACCACCTACTTCCCCAGAGCCAGACATACTCCCAGACATGTGTATGCTCCGTATGTGGTCATAACAAGTACACAGTACTGGTATCTACACACACAGGTAGACATGTATCCCACAGACAGACAAATATGTGCCTGTCCTATGTGCACAACATGGATTCACAATGGGTATACAAGGCCAGAAATGTACCACAGAACACATAGACACACATATACACACAGAACCACATATCTGTGCCCAAAGACACACTCATAGAATCAGATGTATACACAAGGGCACACATGTACACACTTCATATGCACAACCATGTACAGTAACTACTCCCTATGCACACATAGAGCCCACAGACATGCACCTCACAGGCATATATGTGTATACACACACAGACACTGGTGCACACTGACACATACCTCACAGACACGGACCTGTCCTCAAACACATACAGACACATATATCTTCATGGAATCCTGCCACATCTATTTATTATATATTTTTATATAATTATATTTTTATTTGCATATAATTCAAATTGATATAAAATCATAATTATGGTATACAGTGCTTAAATCATAACACTTTTAGTGACTGTATAATATTCCATGCCACAAACAAATCATAATTCAGGTAAACGTAACCACTCTCATAGATTCTGCTTGAATTTGTGTGGTCCTTGTTTTTTTTTAATTTTATTTAAAAGGAAAAAGAGAAAAAAACAAAACAAAACAAAGCAGTGTAAGGGTACAAGTAATACAAAACTACAAAAAAAAAAAAAAAAAACAGTAAGAAATCACCAGTTAATAGATTACATATTATCATCTTAGAGATAGTTGCTCAAGTCACAATATCAAAGCATACAAACTGGACACTCAAACAGTGAGACTGCAAACAGCTGTGTTCAATGATCCAACCAAAAACATTAATATGGTCAGCTATTTAACTTGTTATGAGCAGCTGCTGCATCTGTGTTGCTACATCTTCTTTTGCACACCTGGCCATTTCTTTTCTTCAGGTAAATTCTCGGAAATGAAGCTGTTGGTTCAAAGAGGATGAATCTTGTGTTACCTCTTGGAAATTTCATGTAGAAAGGCAACTGTAAAACAGTGCGTTCTTTTTTTTTTTTTTATTTAAGAGGAAAAAGAGAAAAACACAAAACAAAACAAAGCAGTGTAAGGCTACACATAATACAGAACTACAAAAAAAAAAACATAGCTTTCATATTCTTAAATTTGAGTACTACCAACCTTGTTAATCTTTGTATTCTCATTTAAAATACGGCAAAGGGACTTTCCTGTATGTGGCAAAACATGTAGAGATTCCAAATTGTCTTTTAAAGAATGAGCACTTTAAAGCCAACAATGACAAAGATTGAACAAAATTACTAACGTATTTATAGGATGTTTTTTCCAGGTGTTTAAAAGTAAAAATATTAAATATGAAAACCTTGGGAACATTTTCAAATTCTTCTGCCATCAATATACTTCATTATTTTGCAGCTAAGTTGCCATAATTCTAGTTTACATTAATTTGACCCACCACAGTTGATTAATTACTACGTCATTCCCTACTAAAATCAAGGGCAAATGAAGATACACTTGTAAGTACACTATCGTTACCAGGTAACATAAATGTTTGGTCATTTTTCATAGATTTTTTAAGAAGGTTTTAATCAGCTAAATTTTCCTTAATAAGAAATTTAAACAGAAATTAGAAATGTCATCATTCACTTAATTATTAGGATGAATGTGGAAGGTACCATGAAGTGAAGCAGGAGATGACTCACACAATAAGAAACAGCAAGACGTCTAAGAAAAATAATCTAAAGTGCAATATGCTAAGAAGACATTTATCATCCAGTGGGGAATCACATACTGATTTTGCAGCTGTAAGTGACAACACTGCCATAGTCAGAGGACCAGGAAAGGTAAATCAATGTTACCTTGGGCTTTGGTCTACTCATCTGTAAGTAAAGGTGGCCAGGTAACCTATAGTAACATCTGATATGAATTTTCTATATTCTTTTGGGTAATATGTGGCTTGTTGCGATGACATTTACCCTCCCTGCAGTGGTCAAGCTGGGTTCTGTTACACTTTCTAGTGGCCTGCAATTTTGGTTCTCCAGTTCATCATCTTTATCAGACATGTGGAGCACACAGCATCTAAGAGTACACGTAACTCTTTGGGACTGTTACTGTCCCAGAAGGACAAGTGGAGACACAGAGAAGGCAGGTGGAAGGAAGTCCACTTTCTGGTGGTAAAATTTACTAGCATCATTTCCAAGAAACTATATTGGACACATGATGGGTTGGAAGGCTTCAAGCCTAAGAAAGGGTACTATTTATGCAGGATACCTCTCAGCATGGTTTAATCCTGCTATCCTCACCTGCCACCTGTCCTTTCTAGCTGTGTCCAGTGGAAACACCCATTCTCTGCCTAAATCTACATAACACAGTTCTTTTCTTTGTGGATTCTATTGGTGAACCCCCAGTGTTGGCTGCCATGGCAAATTCACCTTCTCTGGGCCATTCTCAGGTTAGGTGTAGGACCGGGCATCTCGCTGTCCTTGGTGCTGCCTCAAAACCATCCTCACTCTTCTCTCACTAGAAAGGCCTTGCTCTTGTTTCACCATGAGAATAACTCAGAAGAGTTGTTCCACAGCTGTTTCCCACCACAGAAGCTGTGACCAGTACCTTCACAAGGCAAAACACCTTTCAACTTGTCTATGGGCAAGGCCAGTCCACTCCTGTCTCCAGAGACAGTGCTCTAGTGACTCTTACTCATGGGGCCTTCTTGGGATCCCCAGAAGCTCTCTTGGCAGCAGTGGTTTCAAGTTTGCAAAACATTCAAGAAGGATTACAATGGTACTTCTGTTCATGAACTCAATTTTCCCCATGATTGTGGTCACAAAACAAACTGGACAAGAACCAAATCAAATCTCCTCATAAGGTCAATACTGAACCTAACCATTGAATTTGATTTGGTTCTCACTCAACTCAGTATGCAAACAGAATCATGGAAAGAGTCAAGTTCATGAACCTAGGCACCACTGTGCTTCTTTATTATGGTCAACAGCCAATTACAGTGCTACAGTTTTTGTCCTCACTAATCTTCCCAGCTGCCCTTGCCTCCTGATGTAGATCCACGGATGTTGTTTTTAAGATTGTTCTCTGAGCACATGTTTGTTGACAGTAAAGTCTCTTAGCTTTGCATACACAAAAATATTTTAATAATTTTACTCTGCATTCACTTGATAGTAATACAAGTGTACAGCTTAGGACAGTGATGGTGAACCTTTTGATGATGCAAACAGCCTGCTATGGCACATGTGCCATGAGTTCACCACCACTGGCCTAGGGGGACACCTATAAGAATGTTCAGAATATATAATGAATGTTTAAATTTTTAAAAAGTTATTACATTAAAAGACACATTGCCTTCAAAATACTTCCCTTATTTTGAATACACTTATTTCACCATTCTTGCTACTTTTTGTAGCCCTGGAAGTCCTTTCTTTATGTAGTGTGATTTTAAAAATACTGCGAATTTTGTTGCCAAGTATTATTCAATGAAAAGGCAGGCTCATCAAAATATGACAGTGTGCCCTCACCCACTATATTTACTGGATCTGGCACTATGTGACTTCTGGTTCTTCCCCAAAATTAAAATGACTATAGAGGATAAACATTTTTAATCTTACAGGACATCAAGTCAGCCACTGCAGCACAAATGACATTGAGTCTTCTTCCCTCCTTCCTGGCCACCTGGCTCAATTCCTGGGAGGCAGCAAATGCTACTCTGCTCCAGTTCTTGGAGGGCTTTTGGTGTATATGCAAATGAGTAAATACACATGCTATACCCCTTTCTTCTTTGCCTTAGTGAATCCATTTAGTGGCAAATTCTCTTATTATCTCTTGTCTTTTCACCTGATAACATCGAGATGCTCAACCCTGTGAGTCAAGAAGGGGTCTTGATGAATACTGATGATCGCATGTGTTTCCAGGGGACAAATGTGCCACAGATCATTAACAGGTATCCCGTCTGTGGAAACGTAAGACTTTCCTCAATCACTCTCTATTCAACAACACCAGGGACAGTAATATGCCCAGTCCTCACCTGACGTGGGCATAGGCAGCATCTGAGAGTTTTTCTTTTATCTCTGTTTATTATCTCTGTTTATTATAGGCATACTGAATAACCCTGAGCATGACAATCCTGTCACATGTAGGTTAACCCACAGGAAAACTGGCTGGAAGCAGAACTGCTGGAGCCCAGTGACGTGTTTGGAGCTGATGTCCTCATATTACCCTATCAGGATGCTGCGCTCTCAGGCTTAATATCTGCCCACTCTTGACACAAGGTGGGGACAATGGAACAGACGATCGATAACAATGGGAAAGATGAACAATATCCCAATATACTTTGTTTTTGTATTAATTATTATTATTACTACTATTACT